GGGCTGTCAGTAGATGGATCGACCTGGCAGCAGGGGTAATGAACTCTTTTGACAAGAGTATTTGGAGATGCAGGTACTTATGCAAAATGACCAAGCTAATTGTCAGTTTTTACTATACTATAACCTGGACTTAATCCAGTGCCTTGGAATCTCATCTTGATGCCTTTTGTAAATGGCCCTTGCGCTGTATGATGGGGTACAGTTGGTGAGGCCATGTGTATAACCAATGGTTGCAAGGTGAGACTGGCACAGGCTATAGGGCAACCTGTCTAGTTTCCCACAGGATGATTCTTCCCACCAGGTTGTAACCCCGGTTGGATGATCTAGGAAGACATGGCACGGGCATATCGATCAAACCTGTCGTGAAGAGTTTGAGATGGCCAAGTCCCTGCCTGGTGACTCGCCATGATGGACGCAGCTATGCGCCCCTGTCGGCTTTAGCTCACTAATGATGAATAATGACGTGTACAATTTGCTTTGCTTATTACACTGCATATTATCGAAGGAATTGTGTTCACAATCTTATTTGAGTATTTTCATTGTATGGCTTAGAAATTAGCATGAATGAAACATTTGTATTTTAATTGTATGAATTCTTAATGAAGGAATATACGTAGTTTGAAGAGCTAGTCTTCATTATGAAGACTAACTGACTGCCTATTTAAACTGAAAATTTATTTACAAACCTTAGTGTCCCCCTTAGATATGTTGTGTCATTGATGCTAATTGTTACATTATGAAGGATGTGTTGCTTAGTTTAGAATAGATAATGACACTGGCCAAATTGATAATCTACCCTGTTCAGTGTATGCAGCTTTTGTAACGTTTCACATATTTTAACTAAATATGGACATTTATAGGAAAATATATGTTATTGTCAATTTTATTTTAAAGATCAGAATCTTTTTGAACATTAAAATTAATGGAACTCAGTGGGAGGTTAAAGAACAGCCTCTGTTTCAATATCGGAAAAGGATCCCGTTTGAATTTTTATCATGGTATTTTTTTTAGATAAGTTCATCCTATTCCCTTTATTAGATAATTACCTTTCTTGTTAACTGTGATACTTTCTTAGATATTTCTTCACTAATTTCCCTTTCTTGTGTTACATCTATCTTGCATTATCTTTATCTTTATGTTAGTTCTTTTACCTTTTTAGCTTAAGCCTTTTATTTTGTTGTTGTTGATTGGAGCAGTTTTACAGAGTGTAGTGAGAGCTATGTATAGTTGGATGAATTGCTAGTAGGTTGGATGAATGGCTGGTTGGATGGTTGGTTGAATGGTTGAACAAATAATTTAATGGTTGGTTGAACTGATAACTGAATAGTTAGATGGATGGTTGGATGGTCGGTTGGTTGAATGGTTAAACTAATAATTAAATGGTTGGATGGTTGGTTCAATGGATGGATGGTTGGTTGAACTGATAATTTAATGGTTGGATGGATGGTGGGTTGGGTTGGTTGAATGGATGGGTGGAGGGTTGGTTGAACTAATTATGAAATGGTTGGATGGAAGAATGAATGGTAGGTTGAACGGTTGGTTGAACTCCTAATTGAATGGTTGGTTGGATGGATGGATGGATGGTTGGTTGGTTGAATGTTTGAACTAATAATTGAATGGTTGGATGGATGGTTGATTGGATGGTTGGATGAATAGTTATTTGGTTGGGTGGATGGATGTTTGAAATCATAATAATTGAATGGTTGGAAGGATGGGTGGATGGTTGGTTGAACGTTGAACTAATAATCAAATGTTTGAATGGATAGGTGAATGGTTGGATGGATGGATGGATGGTTGAACTAATAATTGGATGGTTGGATGGATGGATGGTTGAACTAATAAGTGAATGGTTGGATGGTTTAATGGATGGTTGAACTAATAACTGGATGGTTGGTTGGATGAGTGGATGGATGGATGGTTGAACTAATAAATGAATGGTTGGATGGTTTAATGGATGGTTGAACTAATAATTGGATGGTTGGATGGATGGATGGTTGAATTAATAAGTGAATGGTTGGATGGTTTTATGGATGGTTGAACTCATAATTGGAGGGTTGGTTGCATGGTTGGTTGAACTCCTAATAATTGAATGGTTGGTTCGGTGGATGTTTGGTTAGTTGGTTTAAATCCTAATCAAATGGTTGGTTGGGTGGATGGTTAGTTGAACTCCTTATAATTGAATGGGTGGTTGGATGGATGGTTAGAAGGGTGGCTAGATGAATGGTTGGATGGAAGGAAGGTTGGGTGGTTAGATGATTGGTTGAACTCCTAATATTGAATTGGATGGTTGGATGGATTGTTTGAATGGTTGCTTGAAATCCTAATAGAATGGCTGGTTGGAGGGATAGATGGATGGGTGGTTGGTTGAACTCATAAGAATTGAATGGTTGGATGGATAGTTGGTTGAATGGTTAGTTGAACAGCTAATAACTGAGCGGTTGGTTGGACAGATGGTTGATAAGATGGATTTTTTTTATTGGGATGGATGGAGAGAGAGAGAGAGAGAGAGAGAGAGAGAGAGAGAGAGAGAGAGAGAGAGAGAGAGAGAGAGAGAGAGAGAGAGAGAGAGAGAGAGAGAGAGAGAGAGATTGTGTGTATGTGTGTGTGTGTGTGTGTGTGTGTGCGTGCG